GGCCATCCTGCGTTGAATCACAGTAGCACGATGCGAATAGCACGTTTGCATTGGAAACAAAGGCAGGAGACTGATCTAAAAGTCGATGCTACACGATCATCAAAAAAAGTCATTCATGCGGACGAGTATCTAGAGTTGTTATCAAAGAAGGATATATATATGCCTGTTCACTTCACGATGCAGCGGACTGATGACTTTTGCATATGCTGCTGTCGGTAGACATTTCATCGAAACCAAGTGAGTTCAATGTTCGAATTCGGCATTCGATTATTTATAAACCAAAGTCATTTAGATTCTGATCTTGAATGTTTGGAGTCGAATTAGAACAGTTACACTCAACTTAGTCTACTTTGGCTAGTTTTGCTCTTTCCACTAACACCAATGCCTTAAATAAAGTGTCGCGGTAGTAGCATCTGCAAAAGGGTTGGATAATATTCCAATGTTCGCTCTAATCCTGCAACAAAAATCCTCGCACGAAAGTGCATGATAAGTAAAAAACTGAAAACGCTTAAAATATAGTGCGGATCTTTGTTCGTTGGCTATTGAATGAGTATAATTAAAGCAGGATATGACACCAAATGAAATCAGTCCTCATCCCGTCAGGTCGTATAACACAGTTTGCTGTTAGCAGACAGTTGAACAGCTTAAAACCACGAGCTTATTCACAAATAGTAGTACCGAGTTTATGGATTTAATGTGGATGAAGTCTTCAGTTTAAATTTGAAGGAATTTTTAATGATTCAAAAATAAGTCAATTGATCCTACGAAAGAGAAAACGCGACACAATACGTGCAATGAAAAGAAGCTGCGATAAGGACGAAGTATAGCAATAATTTTATGTGATATGACGAGTGCGGTCGTAGTGCTCCGACACGAAACTAAACGCTAGATCCTACCCACACAGCTCAGTGCTTCGAACAATCTACACGTTTTCCGTTCACATGGTTCGACAGACATGTATAATCGTTGAGCGATAACAGGAGAATAAAGGAGCCTTGTGACCCCAACGAACGTCGGTGGTAACTTATTGATAGGATATAATTAGCATTATCCTATGATGGACGCAAAACCCAATGAAATTAAACAGGTAGGAGCTGCTTTTAGGTAGGTAGTTCTCAGTAGTCATATACAATACTACGCTACATATGACTGGAATTCACATTTACTGATGTTCTTCAAAGAATTAGCAATTCTGTTAAGTTATAAGTGAATCGGACTTGCCTCGGAATTGGCCAATGCCATGGCTTCTGCGTTGGTAGGAGCTGGTTCCCCAGTTTCAAAAAACCTCAGACGATCTTCGATTTGTTTTTTCAAATGACGACCATATATATCGTTAGACAATTCGCTGAAACAGTCCACACGGCAAGCGATGGCACATTTAGCAGCCAAAAACCGCGAAATGCGACCCTTGTTTTGGCGAGCAGCACGAGTAATAAACGGACTGTGGTAAATTAGTCCATATTTTGGAGTTCGGCCACGATGGCGTAATGCCCGGAAGAGAGCCTTCTCGGCACCAAGAATTTGAATAGTGGAGGCCGGAAACTTGGCCAGATTAACGAGCGAGCCAGCATGTGAGATTAACCGGGCACTCACTCGATCACCAAGCAAAGTGCTCAAGTTCGGGGCGATTCCATTTAACTTTGTAGAGAGGTAGGTCTGGAGAAGTCTTCGACGTTCAATCAAACCTAGTATTCTTTCTGTAAATGCCGACAGACTCGCCGCGTCTTCTTCCGAAATGTCAAATCCTTCGAAAATTGATAATATTAGGAAAATTATAACGTACCGAAGGATGCATTAGAAGCTTCCAGTACAGCCCTGGCTCTAACGGCGTCCGTGAGCTCTTCAAGTGCTTCTAATTTATCTTCAGTACAGCCTTCGCGAGTGCCAATCAAACTCATCACCTTTACAAAAGTCACATTGTCGGGTACAATTTTCAGGAGTTCTGGGAAATGGTAGCAGAACCATTCTTTCACCCGCATACAGAATGCATTAATATCTTTATCCAACTGATCCAATAGGTTGATGGATTGAATTATCATATTATCATTCCTTGGAAATGAAAACAGAAAAATCGAACGAAACATACTTGTTCACGTTAAACTTTACTTTTGCCCGGGAGTAGCTATGCCCAAGGCCTATTTGGGCTTTGGATTCAGTAAAATGAGACAACTCTTTTATAAATGTCGGGAAATGCAATCGCACAACACGGAACATCTCCGAAAGAATCGACTCCGAGGAACAATTTAGGTTATCCGAGAAACCCGCCTCCGGAGCTCTGAGCGACTCGGCCAATTTACGATCCGCTACACAGAGAGTTATTTGAGATTCCAGAGGTAGGTGCTCTACTAGGAAAGCCTTCAAATCTTCATTCATCATCCCCTCGGATATAGCATTACAATTCTGTAAAGCACCAGCAGATGATCCAAAAGGTGAAAATGCGTGAAGCTTGAAACTTTGGCAGAACGATTCATTATCATACAACAGACTTCGAGCCAACTCGACAACTGACTCAACAGTTGGTGCCTTCACCTTAAGTAGGGCATAACCCAAGGCGTGCTCGTACAGAATGAAATGCTTCTAAAAAGAAAATAACCAAACATTGACTCTTTGACACTTGACATTTGCTGGGATGATGACGGTGGTCGCAAGAACCCAGTGTGTGAAGAAATAAAAACAAGCGGAATTTAGCGCTTCGATACGACAGAAATTAGCTTTAATAAAATTGGAGTGGTGCAACGCAGACCTTTTGCCATAATCCCTGAATATTCCTCTCAGACAACAAATGGACTTCTTGGACATCTTGGATAGAGCTTCTATGTGTAGAGTTAGTTGCCAACTGGATTCAGATGGTGTGTTAATCGCGGTTTCTAAGATTCCGTAGACCTTGTTAGGTTTTAGTTTTCCGTCTGACTTTGTGCTCACCTATGTTCTAAGCCGTCCTGTAGATACCCCCTGAGAAAATCACAGTGGGTTCGGAAATGGCACCACGCAAACTACTTAACCGACCTTCGTGCTGCCATGGTTGCGGTGAAGCGCAGGTTATAGAAACCGAGGCAGCTCACTGACATCAATTTTTTTTATTTTTTTATTACACACCTAGGTGTGATGAGCAGACGGGGTAAACCCCATAGTCTCGAGGACCTGCTGTTCAATGGTTGAAATCGGCAACCTAAGCCCCGGAACTTGGAGTGGCGAGCCACATAAGGCCCCGATAGGTTAGACGTGGTATTGAACCGGGCGACAGCAGAGCTGCCTACCACCAATGTCGGGTGGCGGTGGCGGGGCTCGAACCTCGGACCATAGGGTCCAAAGTACGCCGGTGACAGCGACTAAACCACTACGCCACCACCACCAACATGCTTGATTTCCGTAGATTATGATGGTTGGTGCTTGTGTTACAAATGCTTTTAGGTGGTATTTCGGAGCAGTTAATCGAGGTAGAGAGCAGTTAGAAGGAAAATAAAAAACTAAGACTGTCTGATTGGCATGAAAGAACTGATAGGATAAAAAAGTGATACGCTAAGAACCTGTGAATGCAATCATTCTGGGTGGCACGGGGTTAGATATTGCTGACAGCCTCAGCAACCGGAGAATGCGCATTACCTTTATGAAAGAAGAGGATAAAGGGATACATCGAAGATCAGAGATAGTCTTCTTAGGGTTCTGCAGTAGGAGAAACTTGTGGCGCTAACAAGAGATCTGCCTTTCTCGTAGACGTCATGTTTAAAGTGGTACGGCGTGTCAGGAACTTTGTTTGGTAGGGAATCCCAGTACAACAGCAAGGAAGATGTTCCTCAGTGTTTGACAAACCTCTTCGCAACGAGTACGCCCGAATTTTATGCTTGTGTAAACCTACTGATTTTGTTCAGCCGCACTAATAGCATAATGGGTGGTAGTGGCGCAGTGGTTTAGTCGCTGTCACCGGCGTACTTTGGACCCTATGGTCCGAGGTTCGAGCCCCGCCACCGCCACCCGACATTGGTGGTAGGCAG